TTCTGTTAGACTTTTTGAAGTCCAGCTTTTTTTTTTTGGCTTAGTTTTTCAAGGGAGAGAGTCAAAAATAAATAAAATATTCTCTTTGTTTGTCTCGTGAGACGCAGGCAATGAAAGCCTTTTCTGTGAGCCTTGCTCGCGATCAAGGCCAGTTTGTTTGAGCTGTGGGAGTTTACAACATAAAAAATCCTCTATAACCTGCAGCAGAAATGTTTAACTGCAAAATGAGCAAAATATGAATTATTTCTTAATTAATTGTATGTTATAATATGATTCTATACTGATAATTAAAGGCCACTTTTGAATATTGTTTCCAAACCCTTTTAATGTACCCATTTACAGTAATAATATTGAATATAGCACAGAAGTGAAATTTTTTTGCATTTATTCACCACTCTAAAGAAGACTGTGATCAAGTTCTATAACTCTAAATGACTTGGTAGCAGACATACGTACTAAAGACATATGTACGAAGCGCTAATGTATGAGCAGTAGATTGAGAACCTTTTTCTCCTAAGACATGAACGTAACCTTCTATCTCTCTTTTTTGAGCGGTTGAAGACAAACAAAAACTTTTACCTTGACTTTCACGCAGCACAAACAGCAGTTTCCTCTCGAGAGGTTAAAACGCAAAGAGAAAAAAAAAAAATACCCCTCCGATCCTATTTCCTCGCCACCCTCCTCTGTTTTATCTCGCGGAGCAGAAGTGGCTTAAACAATTTGCCCCCTCGGTGAAGAGCGACGCCACGGCGGAGACATCTGTGCCTCCCCGACATTTCAGCGGCGAGATCCTTTGAGCGTGAGGACGGATCTGTGTGGCGCTCTCCGGGAAACGGGCCGGGATATAAAGCACGGTCGCAACACCAATTATCGTACACAGACGATGTGAGCCGTTAGCTGGGGGTAGCATCCGCTTAGTCTGTAGGCTGCAGCTCCTTTTTATTGCTTCATAGCTAATGAGCTGTGTGTTCTCATGCCAGTTTTAGGGTTAAAACAAATATGATTGAAAGGACCGGGGGGGGGGGGGGTTGAGCACTTTCGGTGAAACATGTTTCTCTCTCGTGGAGCCAATTGATTGGCGGGAATCGGGAGTATTTGGAGTATCTTCCTTCTTTCTTCTCTTTCCTTTACGTTTTCACTCCTTCCTTTATTCTTCTCCAGTTCCTTTAATGTTCTCTTCCTCTTTTTCCTCCATCCATTCTGTTCTCCTCACCCTCTCCCCTTTTATAAGGCCAGTTAAATGCTTTGCTGCAGAGCTGTTAAATTTCTTGTGAGCAATGGCAAGGCCGTACAAAGCAGCCTCACAATAAACACTGCTCAGCAGAAGTGAAACACTCAAACATGCTTCACATAGTCAAGGCTTACTACCTTTGTTTTGTTTTGCTTAAAAAAAAACCTAACGCTTTTGATAAAGGCTTCACTGATATTCAGCCACTAATGTATGCCATCCGCATCAAGGGAACTAGCTTGCGGTTTTATTGACCTAATGCTCTCCTGTTCCTCTCAGAAAAGGGACGGCCAAGACTTCAACTACTACTTTGTATTTGTCCTAATTTGTCGCGGTTGCAAGGAGCGTGTCTCTGGGTATTTGGGCGCCTAAAGCTTGGTGAAAGCTGAGCTATAAGATTAATGTGACAATCCGAACGGTTAATGATGATGGGAAGGAGATCCTTGGGCGAGTTGTGGTTAATGGGGACGCAAAAAAAGTCATGTAGAAACTACATGACTTGTTTCTATATTTACATTCCTGTATCTTCACATCTTAAATTTGGTATTATCATATTTTATCCTCATATTTGGTTTGCGCTCATTTAAGATTATTTTAATCTGCCCACTGGTGTGTGTACATTTTGGAAAGTGTGGGCTGCTAGGTCATTTACTCGTGGAACGGGCCTTTATCCCAACCCTAACCCCAACCCTAACTCTCGTTTCTCACCTACATGATTGCGCGACATAAACGGGAGGCGTAATGATCTAAATGACTCGCAAAGGGACCATAAAGCGGTGGATAACGTAGGCATTTTGGGGGGAAAGGAAATTGTGTCCAGATTGTGTCCAGATTGTGTCTTTTCCCTCTCAGAGGGGGAAGGTCTTGTACGCTGATTTTTATACATAATCTGTTCCTGTCTCGATGGAAAAGTGGCGATCTAAAGCATTTGCAGCATCAATAGTGTCCTCACTACACCAGAAGTAAGGCCACTCGGTCAGTTTCATGCTTCAAAGAATGATTCTTTACACTTGAGGTACACTTTCATAAACATTTTTTCTATTTCCTAGAATTCAAAGACTAAAAAATGTTGAGTACTGGTGTTTGAAACATAGGACATCTAACTTTACTTCAGTGCATTTGGTGGATAGTACAGCACCAAAGCCAGAGAGACTTGTCTCCAAAGTAAAACAAAAAAAACCACCCCACACAAAGGATTTTCCTCTATTTAGATGTGTACAGTGAGAAAAGTAATATGCTTTTTTTCAAAGAAATTATTGGGAAAATCTTTGCCATGGATGTAATGACTATGGATTTTTGAATGACTTTGAAGACTTTGACCGATAGATAATGTCTGATAAGTAATAACTCTAAAATAACAATGACACTGAATATTGATTTTGTTTCCCAAGAGCCATTGGCATCGACAACCATAGCATTACTGGCTACGTGTATCAGTGACTGGGTGTTTAGTTTAGGTCCATAAATGGACCTGATGAGCCAAAAAAAAGAAAGCTGTGATAATAAAAAAAAGGAGGTTGCATGTTCTCTAAATTCCTCAAACATGAGAGACGTTGGGAGAATTTGTCATTGTATCTTCCATTGAAATGTTCGTATCCATTGACGTCAGCTCCATGGCAACTGTCAAAGATGACGCCTGTAAAAAGCAAACTTCAGAGACCCCATCAGCCCCTAACAACACTTTGCAGAGTCACACCTAATAAAACTTGTGTGCATGTTTTTTTTTTTTTCCTTAGATGACTAACACTGTCGTGTTAGGTAAACATGCTGCCAAACAGTACATGTGAAGAAGAAGGAAATGCTATTCTTTCTTAGCAACCACGTCCAACATCCCCATCCCAACTTCAACACGATTTACAACCATCCCCTTAAAATGAATATCAGTGGATGGCCCTTATATGCGTTGTTGTTATGGCAAAGAGCGTTTTGCATTGATATACCCAAAGATTGTAAAGCAATAATCCTGGTAATGTATCTATCTCAACACCGTCCATTCCTATTACATGGTTATACAAATGGAATATACAATGCAGAACAGGCTGTGCACACAGTGTGGACACAGTCCCATTTTACCATTGGCTGACGATCAGCAGGAACGCCGCAATAATGTTGTGTTGATATGAGAGTAAATGATTGATTATCAAACTAATCATCTACACACAGGGATGGCTGGTCGGAAGTCATCAGAAATGTTTATTTTCTACCCAGGTCGCTTTAAAAATTACCATTCACTTGAGAATGGTGACTTCTAATACATAGCAAATATAAGAGCCCCCACACACCCACACTGGAATAATTTGAATGAGTTATGTTTTTTAAATGAGATGCTTTGCATGTATAACAATTCACCAAGAGAGGCAAAATAGAGACAAAGGAATACACTTACATACATTAGTGCGAATGTTAACACGTGCAACTGGTGGAAAGTTCAAGAGTGACATTCCTCTCGCTGTGCAACGAGCTGTGTGCGAAACACTACACATGCTACACAGTCGGATTGCCTGCTACGCTCTCCTTGATCTCGCAGTATCATAGACTTACTGCTTACTGAACTATCTTTGCTGGAGGCCTGGGTCTGTCTGGAGATTTACTGGCTTTTTATCTCAAATACACACACGGAGGCGCAGAGAGAAAGACATAAAAAAAAAAAAAACTGGGGTTAGCACAGCCATTCACTTTTCTAGCCCACGCTCTGTAAAACATGTCTAAATGGTTTCCGTAGTCCTTTCCGCTCTATCTTACTGTTACAGGCAAAGACGATGCCCAGTTGCACACACTCAAAGCCTCGCAACCCCTCCACCTTTCCTTGAAAGCATTTATTAGGTGCTTAAATCACCTAGCTGACTGAGTGGTAAGGGTAAACAGAGAGGACACGGTACTTCAGCACACGCTCGGTAATGTGAGGGTGTAAACATCAAAGAACCTGCCGTGGCTGATTTCTTTCAGTTTATTCTAACCAAATGTAGAGTTCCGTGCTGATAGTTGTGCTTTCTCCAAAAGCCTTTATCAGGAGTGCTGACAGCCTCACGAATTAGCCCGGCAAAGAAAAAGTCGTAGCACAGCAAAAGCAAAGGGAGGGAGAAGGGAACTGAGTGGGTGGGTTGATGGATGCATGAAAGGTGTCCTAGAGCATTTAAGGGAGAGAAAATGGAGATGTAGCAAGGAATGAAAGATGGGGATGGGCTGGATGGATGGACCAAAGGCTGTAAAGACCTACAAAAGCTTATAATCAAGGGGAGGCAGGAGGAGACAAAATGGCTTGAATTGGGCAAATGAAATAATCCGACTCTCTCTTTTCACTGATTCTTTCCACAGCTCAGACTGGTCATCAGCTGTGACAGACAAAAAGGCACTTGGATGGACACCTTGGAAACGACCAAACTCAGCTAATTGCTCCCACTGACATATATTCACTAGATGTTATTGACGCAGAAGACGATGGGCAACAAGCCATGGATGTGAGTAGGTCAACTTCCCAATCTGAATTTGGGACTCCGAGAGACTCTTTTTCGTCAGCTGGGAGATGTGGTTGAATCCCGAGGGATCCTTAATTAGAGTGTACCCGAAGGAATCTTCACCAATGACTTGTTGGCAGGAAATGGGAGCTTCTAAACTCAGACAGCAATTTGGGGCTGAGTACAGCTAGCAAGACTTAATTTAAATATTGTTTAAAATTAAGATAATTTATTTGATCCCCTCTTATCCCTTTATCCCTCGTCCCCCTTCGTTCCCCAGTCTCCCGACTTTTTCCCCCTATTATCTCCTCCTGGCCCTGAACCCAATGGTGTCTTGCTAGAATTAAGAATTCAAAAAATCACAGAAGTCTCCCTAGATGCTGAGCATACGTTTCTCCCCAGCTTTTTGTATCTTCTCATAACCAGAATTAATTCAAAACGTCCCAAAGAGGGCGAGCATCTGTCTTCGGAATGGGTGGTCCGGCAAGGGCTCTCCTTGGAGGATTCGGCACAACCGCCTCATCTCTAGAGGTTGGAGGTCGAATGGCCTGGGCAAGCAGCAGCCCCTTGGATCTCAACCAAACACTGCCATGGGGCGTGGGCGGCGGCTTGGGAGCGGGAGCGGGCGGTGCAGCGGCCATGAGTTTAGGTTTGGACAATCATACCACGCAAGAGTCTGTCTCCAGGACGGTGATCAAGGAGAAAAACTGGCCAGCGCTGCTCATACTGGTCATCATCGCGCTGACGGTCGGCGGCAACATTCTGGTGATCCTGGCCGTGTCGTTGGAGAAGAAGCTGCAGAACGCCACCAACTTCTTCCTGAGGTCGCTGGCTGTGGCCGACATGCTGGTTGGAATCCTGGTCATGCCGATCTCCCTCATCAACATCCTCTACGGTGAGTTGTGTCTAGAAAACACAAGCGTAAGATGGGATGACTGCGAGGAGTATGTAGACTTAGCAACAAACATCAGATAAAATAGGAAGCTACATATGTATATGTGTTGTTTGTATTGGTCAAATACATAGTTCCTGAACGTATCTTTTAAGGTTTCCATTGAAAACTTGACATAGCGATTGGTTTTGCAGACCTATCCTAGCTGACATTTTGGACAGAGATGAATAGCCATGCATGCACACTCCAATGAGCAATTTAGAGTCGTCAGTTAACCTAACATGCATATTTTTTGACTGTGGAAAGAAGCCGGAGTAAACCGGGAACCGCTTGCTCACTGATGGATGATGCTAACCAGCACAAAGCCCCCATGAGAGAACCTTTAACAACATTTAATAACGTGTAGATCATCGTATGAACAATACCTGTTGAGTCTAGCAGTTCAGAGACGACTTAAGGAAAGGATAAACCGATCCTATAATAATGGAAAAGTGAAGTAATCAGTTCAGTCATTTGAAGCGTGAAACTTGCCACACCAAATGGCAAGTACAGGTGAAAGTAATTTAGCAGTCTATCCATGATTAAGCAAATGGAATTCTTTGTGCATTATCAGTACTGACAGTATTGAACTCCTTACTCTTCCATGAGGCCTACTTGCATCAATGCATGATTCACATCTTCATTGTGGATTTCCACAACTGATCAGCACTCACCCACTCAGCAGCTGCTGCCAGCACACAGCCAGCCGCATTTGGTGATAGTTTCAAACCATCATTCTGTGGAAATATTCCAACATTCATAACTTAATTTCTTTTTTGCAACTGATTTGACTTTCTCTCAAAAAATAAAAAAAAACTCACTGCTGTTTTCGAGTTGTTAGGACTGAACATAAAGATTTACACCTGTATAAGAGAGGACGGCAGATCTAACTTTGAACATAATGGGTTCACTTTTTCAATCTCGAGTTAAAGTATTAAGAGAAAGAGACGCTGTCTGCCACTAGCATTTGGGTGTCCCCTAATGCCTCAAAGGAGGGTGCTTGGAAAATGTCACCGCTGCAGAAGTGGTCACTGAGATAAGATGTGAGGCAGCCTTTTTTTGAGGCCTGCACACAGGCAGACATCATCCTTTACGGTTTTCATCGATGGTAATAGTTGTCATTACTGATAACATTGACTTTCCAGAACCGACTTAATGATGAGTCAATCTGTAGTTTTCAGTCGATGTCAGATCTGCAGCTGCTTGGCACTCTATTTAAAAGCCTTTATTGATGAGCCATTATATATTAACAGACAAGTGTCACACCTCCTCTTAATAATACACCAAGGGAACAGTCATTCCCAAGATAGCCATGAGATTGATCTCTCTTATGGGGTCTTTAGTATGCCCTGAGGTATCCTTCCCATCGGACACTTACTCTTAAAGGCATTGTGATTGATGCCCAAACCACCCCTTTGCATCCCTTTGATGTAGAGAAGCTGGAACTCTACTCAGAGGTCCTCCCAGATGACTGGATTACTCACAGAATCCCTAGTGGGGCACAGATCACCGTATATCTAAAGCTTGCATTCAGAATATGCGACTAGGTGGAAGCTTATGCTAGTCTACTAGGGGGAGATGGAATGCAGACTGACAGGCAAATGGGCGGTTTCACTGTCGGTTTCACTCGGCTCTCCCTTAATTGCAGCAGACCGTTGCGGCTTCCACATCTTTACAGACGCTTCCCCAATCCCCCATTTCATACAAGTTGTGGAGGTGCCAATCTTAGTTTATTAGGGATGGTTTAAGATCAAAAATAATGCATGACTTTGACTGGTTTAGGTTCCAAAATGTATTTACATTTTCTCAAAAGCTATGACTAACCATGCAACAGTCAGATTTAGAATTTCAAAGAAGGAAAAATCCTTACTATTAATTACCGGATGCATGTGTCAATGTATAGAATCTTAAACTCACATACCATTAAATATTCTATTCTGGCATTTAGACAAAACCAAATCGTCCAATTAATCTTTACTATGGAAGACCTGGTGTTTTTGATTGTCAGATCACAGTTTTACCTCTAGCCTTGGTCCATGCATGAGTAAGCTTTTATTTACATGCCATAATGAGCCACATTAGCAAACAAGAAGCTCCTGCCACTCTACTAGAGATAGGCAGTATAGAGAAAGGAAGTTTAATTAGAAAAAGTCATTATTTACCAAGAGTTTTCCCGCTGGAAACAATTCTGCCGATAAATCCCAACAAAGTAACCCCTGGGCCTAAACGTGAGGGGAGAGTTATGTTGGGGGCCTATTGAAAATGATTAGCCATGGTCTGTGAGAGTTTTTTTTTACCACACTGCCAGTCCATTTGGTCCCCTGGAATCAGTCCAATCTCAGCCGCTTTGTCATGCAGTCAGTCAGATTGAAAGCAAATGCTTAAATGAGCATGGATAAAAAGAATGCAACACCTTTTTACACCGAGGCAGGTGCATCAAAGTGCCTCTCTCCACCTCTTCTCTTTTGTTTTAGCCCCCTGTTGCTCCTGTGGTCGTAAAGCTCTGTAGCCGTAATGGATAAAGGTTGAGAACTGCCATGATGACATTAATTTCCGTCACCCTATTTTTCTCACTGGAAGCTTCATAAGACTGTGAAATGACCCAAACACATCAGAGTAGCAACCCTAAGGCAGGGTGAACAGAAGAAAGGAGTTCTGATGCACTGTGTATTCCCTCTTTTAGCATCAGACAGACTGGCCCGTCCTTTATAAATAGAAAGCAGATTGTTCCATATGGCAGCCATTTTCTTACATTATTGCATTTCTTTTTATTTTTTATATTAGGCATATCTAAATGAATACGTGGACACGTGGATTAGTGTAAGCGGCATAGTTGAGCAGCTGATCACAATACTGGATTAATATATGATAATGTTCTTTAAGTGTCTTAGTTATGCGTTAACTGATCTTGAACCGTGGTCAGTCTTCTTATTATCAGGATTTTTAATGGCTTTATAGAAATGAAGTCTGCTCTGATGATTAAACACTCCGACAAGGCACGCTTCCTTTCTGATGGATGTGGGGAATGAGCAACCTTATTGACAATTTCTTGACTCGTCGGTCTTAGCTGTTCCCTGGCTTGAATTTTTATGTCCCCACAGAAGGACAATCAGATTACTTTATCCATCGAATCTCGTCGCCAACCTGTCCGCATGTGTTGTCTGTGATTCAAAAGTGTAGTGAATGGAGGGACCCGCCAGCAGACGGTTCCCAGCAGCTATGCTAGCACAGAAGGCTCTTACCAACACGTCAGAAGACAGTTTATGCAGGCAACCGTCCACAGACTGTTTCTCACTTTCAACCTGCTGTCGTCATGGTTTCAGAGCACCTTACTTAAGCTGAAACAGCTTGCCCGTAGATCTAACATGTCTTGTTGGACTTGATGACCTTCCAAAGGAAGGCTTTTGTATAATAATAGTCCAGTGGAAATGTGGCATTTGGCACATTTTGAACTAAATCAGCCACTGATTTGCACTCCGTCTTTTCTGGCCAGTCATCTGATGGGGTATTTTCAATTAAAGCCAAAGAGCCATTAGGTAAATCATGGTCATCCATTCATTTTCTATACCGGCTTAATCCGTTTCAGGGTTTCGGGAGGAACAGGAGCCCATTGCCCAAGAGGCAGGGTCCACCCAGGACAGGCCGCAGGTCCATCACAGGGCCTTATTTTTGCACCACAAGCACTCGTGGCAAAAATAAATAAATAAGTTATTAGCAAATTTTGACGGGGTGAAACTTTCAGCCGAACGCAAGGAAGGTCGTCACCGGAAAATCCATAAATCTATCTAAAGATCTGACCTCAACCTTCTGCATAAAGAGCTCGCGTGCATTTTCATTTTTTTATTTTTGCAAGAGGCCTTGAGTCTCAGTGGGCTGAAATTGATCCAAATCAATGCATTCTTTTTTCCTTTACTGTCCACAGCTTACCTCTCGTCTGAAACGAGCTGCTTAGTCCAATGCAATGTAGCTCAAGACTCAGATGGAGGGTAGATTGCGAAAAGACAACAGGGGCAATTGAAAAGGCAGTTGTACAGCTTTGAGCTCCACGGTAGTGATTAAAAGTCTGAGTAAACAAGCCTTTCACGATTCACCTATTCTTTCATCTGCCTTTTACGCTATGCGGTTTGGGAAACTTTTTTTTTAAAAAGTTCATTGCTACAAGATTGAACATCTGCTCTTTATCGCTTCTCCGCCTCTTTCGTAGTTTCAGCACAGCTTGGCCAAACGTGGCAGCATCCAGCGATTGCCTAGCAATCAGGCGTCCCGTTGGAATGCTAAGCAGAGGTTTGATTGCCGTTTAATGGGCCACGCATGGCAAACAGACACACTGGTTCGCTCGCTCCGCGTCAGCCCGTCAGCTCGGGCCGCCGCCTCTGCTGATTACCGACCGGGGTATCAGTGTTTCACGCTAACAAAGACATGAAATCCCCCCCCCCCCAGAAGGAATCAACAGTCAACCCGGGGGGCCAAATACTCGGTTTAGGCACGCACCACACAAGGACGCCGATTTGAAGCCCTCTCACGCAGACACTGACGCACGCTCGAATGAACCGGAGTTCAGATCCATACGCGCGGGGGTATCCATCACTCCGCTAGTTGGGCGCATTGATTGGCGAGGCTGCTTAATGGACCCAGCGGGCGTGCGCATTAACGCGCAACCGGCCGCTGACTGTTCTCACACCTTTTAGATGACAGTGAAATTGTTCCGACTGTGGCACTAATGATCGTAGGGATGACTCCTATAGTGGCAATCTGAGCCTGGAGCCGTTACGTGCGTCTTAATTCTACACGCAGCTGTATGTGGATTAAACCAAACAGACAAAATGGGCGAATCACATCGATTAAGGCCGAGCTTTAACAAATAGCAGCTCCTTTAAATAATTCAAAACGAGGTTGATTGCACGTTCTTCTGATGGATTGTCGCTGTTATCTCGATCGTATTGGATTTCTTCGACGTAAAAGTTCAAGCGTGAGAAACCATTGCAGAGGGAACATAATGAGCACGTTTGGTTTAAAAGTCCCATCATGGGGTAGTCATGTCAATTAACTGCGCATATGGAAGTTTTTGGCGTGGGTATTTAGGGAAGGAATCTCGACCCAATGCCAACTTTAGGATATTTGTAAGTTTGGTTTCCCCTCTTTCCTTAGATGCTGAACTGAGAATAATGTTGACCCTTCACCATTTTCAACGCTTTAACATCTAAAAAACAAATTTAAAGGACAAGAAAATATTTCTTTTGAGCCATAACAACCAGAATCTGTGTTTTTTTTCCACAGGTAGTTGGGGAGAGACTTAAGTTAAATACACGTTCTCTAGTATAGTCATGTGAAGGAAAGCTAAATTGAAATATTACCTATCGCTTGTTTGATATGCTGACAACTGTCCAACGTTAGGTTTTATTCATTTCCTGGAGGCCTTTTTTGATCAGCAGACTCTGCTTCCATACCCAACCCCTCTATACGGCCGTTCCTGCTCCACAGTAACCCAAGTTCATTTGTTCCACATCTGCAAATACTGTTTGTGGTATATCTTGTTCCAACAAAGAGTCTGGGAATCTCATCAAGACGATAGCATCTCAATTTCCCATTTCGCTTTGTTCTCTGATGGTTTCCATGAATCAATGCTCGGCTCTCATCCAAGAAAAGGATTGCAATTACATTTCTGTTGAGTTATCAATATTTTGATTTTCTTGTTCCATATCTTGTGGGGTTGTCGGTACCATAATAGTCAGAGATGATAGCAAATAATGGATATTTTAAAGTAGTTTCCTCATGTTTGGGGTTGTGACATGAAAAAAGGTGAAATGCACTAATATAACTATTTGTATTTGTTCTTAAAATAAATCCTTGAATATGTATTACTGGAAGCTCCAACAGACCAATGCATTCTACGTTATTAGAGGATCAAAACAAGGTGAGTATGCTCTTATTCACCGGAATGTGAATCAGTTAATAGATGAAACAAGGAAACAACTGAGTTCTTAAGGGGGATTTTATCACTTCCTGCCACTTTAAGCAAATAGAAAGGTTTATTGTTCTTTTTAAAAGAGGATTAATGACAGCAGGACAGGCCTGAATACTGGTATGTTACCTTAGGTTGCAACAGTATGGCGTAATTTGTATTTATTCCTGATGTTTGGTGTCATTTTTGTCATAATGCTATTCTGAAAATAATCTCACTTTTGCATTTTGCCTCTCAGCGCCATGACAGTAATGTTTGATATCTAAAATAAAAGGGTTTTATATGTTTTCAGACAGTCATGTCTCTATTGTGTCCTTTGGGAAAACAGACCCAGTGTCTTCAAATGGGGACATAGATTCTATCATAGAATGGCTGACAGTGGAAAGTAAAAATATTGCTTTTAGAGCTCCTTATCCCCAAATTGCAAACAATCCGAAAATAACCCAACGTGTCCCAGTGTAAGAGGAACCCAGAATTCCTCTTTTATTCTAAAAATTCTGATTTGTATTATATTTTATCTCTGAGCACATGTGTCACATTCTCCCGCTGGAGCTTCTTTATAGGTTTTTCTGTACACTTCCTTGTGGTGTATTTTTTTATTTTTCTAGCTTTTATTGAACTTTTCTTTACCTTTATTGTTTGTTTTTTGGCGTCTCGCTATGTTCGCGGGAATAACCCTCCCCGCACAGAAGCTAATGCCGCGTGCGATCTTCAGCTTTCTTGGACTTTTGTTTCAAAGTCTGTCCGGTCACAGATTGCCACTGAGCAACGGACGTGTTGTTGGAGACGAGGAAAACCAGATGGTGCCCGTTTTTTGCCATGGGAGCTCAGTTTGCATGGAGCAGAGCAAAGCTTTTTTTTTTTTCTATGGTGTTGGATTGACAAACCATTGGAAAGGCGGATGGAAATCACCATGAATGGGTTTGGGATGTTGTGTCTGTAGCCTGGCAACAGCGTCGCTGACCACATCCCGGACAGCATAGGCAGCGACAGCAGGTGATAAATACACACGATCCTGAGGTACAATCCACCTAACACCACCTTCCCCCCCAAAGTGTGGCTAAATTTGAAGGTATTTGAGGGAAGAGAAAAAAAAAACACATCCATCAGCCTCCCTCAGAGCAAATCTAGGTCTCGCTGTGTGTTCGCCAGATAAGTCAGCGGCAGCTGCAAGCCAGCTGAGTAACAACTTGTGTGTGAGTGCGTCACGCTGTGCCTCCAACAAGTCTCTGACCTCTAAAAAAGTTACGCAAGCCACCTCCCACTCGCGCACAAACAGGCGAGGATCCACTCCGCATGCGTCTTCTCGCACAAATCAAGGATTAGATAAAGCAAAGCGCCCAAGTCTGTGTGTGTGTGTGTGTGTGTATATGTATGTGTGTGTGTTTGTGTTTATATTTGACTGCAGGACTAGCAACCTCCGATGGAAGCTCTGTGAGGCACTCATCAGAAGGTGGATACAGCCAAGACACACAAATCCCAGCCGGTGATAATCCCCTTTAAATACCTTGTTTTTTTGTAGATCCGGCCCAGCGGAGCTTTAAAAAGAGAACAAATGCTCCAGTAAATTTAAATCTAAGTAATGTCTGACACACTACAAGCATGGGAATGAGTGCCGACAGTCATTTTGTGGCCCTCTATTGAGGCGAGTGAATGAAGGAAACAAAGCAAAGAGAACCGTTGTGAGTCTTTCCTCTGTCGGCAAAGTTAATGAGACAATCATGCCTGGCCAAATTTCTCGAGATTTTTCCGGTAATTATAGTTCACTTTTAGCCCGCGTCCGTTTTCCTGCAGGGTGTTTTAAAGCAGTGCTAATCAGCCAACGGGCCAATCAAGCTCGTTAATTTTGCGCCATTTAGGCAGGCGTTGATTTAATTTTCACATACTTAGCCAGTCCCTTAAAATATCGCCTGCCTCTCTTGGTTATTTTAGTCACGTCTGCTTCCTTGCGGGGTTTTCCTTTTTGGCCGATTTTATTTTCTGAGGTTCGGTCGGAGAGAGTGACCTGCAGTGACCTCTTCCCTCTGCAGAACATATTGCCAAAGACACAACTTCTCGCCAGCTTTCAGGGGGGAATCGCACAAGCGCTACACTTTAAATCTCGCTCCCTCGTAGATCAACAGAGCGTCAGTGTCTGAGAACGGGCCATTATTTTCTGAGTCTGTAGCACGTGTGGTTGGGATCGTTTTATGCCTGGAATGGACTTTGCTTTCGCCCAATGGCAGCAGGTGCAGTTCTCTGAACCCACACAGGCCTGAAATGGATTTACACGGTAAAGGAAACCGATGGAGGCCTTTCACCTTTGCTGTCTAACTCACAAGGAGCAACGTTTTCCATCAGGTTTCCATCAGGTGTGAAGAAAGAACCAAAGCTGTAATAACAAGATGCTAACACTGCTGTAACATTTTACCAATTTGAATACGATTTTAAATTAATTTTAGATTTTAATTGTCTAAATGTGTGGTAATGCTTATGCAAATACATTAGAAAAGTACAACAATGCTCAACAGTGTGCGATCTGTGCGGGTGTAGCACAGCATCCAAATGCCACGATTGGGTTACCGAGGAATAAATTAATAAATGCCATTAATGTCTTTCTTAAAGCACCACCTAAAGGCCGTGTGGCAACTTTTATCAGCAGAGAAATGATTGTCATTTAATATGTGTTCTGATATCAGCCTCTATTGTTTATAGTATAAAACAGTGAAACACATAGATGCTGTAACCAGACTACGGTCTTTGATTTCTCAGTGCTGCTGATGACTTTAGTGCATGTAAAGCCAGTTGTGATGTACTTTGATTAATTAATTGTAGGTCAACTAATCAATGTGGCGACTTCGACCATCGCCATCTGTTAACTCGGCTGACTTTAACTCACTCAGGCCCCTCAGAACAGGTCGACCGGACCATAGCGAGGGGGGAAAAACTGTCGGATTACCGTAGCGACATAATGACTGACCGTTGCCTCTCTGCTGTCGTCCTCTCAGATTACGCCTGGCCTCTCCCCAGCGCCCTCTGCCCCATCTGGATCTACCTGGACGTGCTGTTCTCCACCGCCTCCATCATGCACCTCTGCGCCATCTCCCTGGATCGCTACGTGGCCATCCGCAACCCCATAGAGCACAGCCGCTTCAACTCCAGGACCAAAGCCATGATGAAGATCGCAGCCGTCTGGACCATATCCATAGGTCGGCGTTAAGTGGGCTCTGTGACTTTGCGTCCAAAAAATTCTCATTCAGGGTGTGATCCAGGAGGCGTCTCGGAATCAATGGCGGCCACATTTGCACGACAAGAAGCCGATTGATTCGGGACGCGCTCCTGACCCCACGGCCCCTCCGTGACCCTGTGGTCAACTGCTGCTAAAAACAGCGTCTTTTTCCCTTGTTTTTCTCAACAAATGAGCTGCACTGATTAGAATTTAGAGCGCGTAGCTCTTCGGAGACGTCAGACAATCTCCAGCGGGCGTTTCATTAAACCAAAGGAAGGAAAAAATTAAACATTTATGCTGATTCTTAGCGGACGGGGTTTTGTTGTGATTACTGATTTGCACGGTGCATGGGTGTCTAAACAGCAGATTTGGCTTCTTTATGAATTATTGGCAATGTTTTGAACATTTATTCAGGCTTTTTCTGCATCAAGTTTCTGATTCCAGGAATCTCTTGGTTCAGGACCTAGCCTGAAAGCTCAGACTCATGCATTCAGCAACTCAAACTCAAACCACCAATGCAAATAAATGGCAGAAAAGTACAGTCAATTTTCAAATGTTCCGGTTCTTTATGTGTAGTTTGACCAAAAGGAATTGGGTAAAATCTCATCGTGACCTTTTATTTTGTTCAAAACAAGAAGGAATGTCAAACCGTATCATAACTACACTGTTAAAAAAAAAAAAAGAGTTTGCACGATTCAAATTTTTAAATGAGCTTATTTTTGTTTTTCAGAATGGCTTGAACAGCTCTTTTTTTTCTTAAAGATTATTTCAAAGGAAACAAAAAAGCAATCTACAACTTTCTGTTGTTGTTTCTATGTCTTTCCTTTTTCCCCCCAAAGGTGAATTAGTACTTTCATATCACCTTCTTCTAAATCAGATAAAATATCTGTTTTCCTTTTGGCATTTCTTTGAAACCCTCGAGAGGCGGAGCACCATAACATTCAGCAGTGATTGAGGTCTTAGAGGGCTTACAGCAATCAATGCGGAAGGATTAGCAATGGAGCATCCAGCCGAGGCTGTATAAACTCACTATGATGAGATTTACTGCTTCTTTTTTTTCCCTTTTTGGATAAGATTTAATGATACTTTTGCCCGTGGTCCCCTTTCAGGTTTCTATAGCCTCTCCTCTTTTGAGAGAAACCTGAAATGCATAAGATAGGAGACTTCTTAACGTGTCAGTCACAAGCTCTCAGAATGATGATGACATTTTAGGAAACCTGCCTATTAGGTAGAGCAGAAGTTTAGCGGATTCCCATGAAAAAATACACACCAAAGGCCATTTTGTTAATAAGCTTCTAATAAGTTCTTGAGCAGTTCACTGACAGATGTTTCATTTTGCTTGAAAAAATTGGATTATTCTTGTTGATAAAACGAAGTTTTTTTATATATACATTTTTTTAATTGTCGTCAGTTGCTTGTGTGGGCTGGTATTGCGTGAGGAAAAAGAATGCAGCACAAATTTGTGTCTGTCATAAAGATGTTCATTCTAACACTTCCCGGAGAAGAGAGCACAAACTTGTTCCCGCGGGGAGTCCGGTATCGGTCGAGCGAGCGGGTTAACAATCCGAACACGGGCCTCGTTTCGGGAAAAGCTCCCGTTTTATGTCGTGTTAGAATTAGAGTCAATCTCAGCCAACACAGCGGTCAAAGAGGTCTGCTTAACCGCCTTTGAAAACTGCGACTGGACACGTAGAAAAAAACAACTGTCGGCAGTTGTTACGGGATATGATTGTGTCCAGAGTTGCCAAGACCCATCACGACTTTGGCCAGGTCACTGGAGAGCCTCGTTTTCTGAGATCTGCTTTTGCTTCTCGGCTTATTTGGGCCTTCGCTGAGGACAAATGTTTGTTGGTAAAGCGGGGAAAATCATACACCTCGGACGTGTGAGTGCAGTGAGTTGTAACAATTGCATTTGGGAGGCTGACAGTGCTCCTAATTGCAGCTGGACGACGGGCTGGGCAGTAGAAGAGCAGGAGGAAATTATGCACCTCATGCATAATCACAAGCCAGCCCACACTTTGGACATAATGCAGTTCAAATGAAAGCCAGAGCGAGACCTGCTGCGGGGCTTTCAGACAGGAGTTTTTCAAATATGATTTTCACCCATCGGACTCTTTGTCTCCATCCGGCCGACACGTCCGACAGAAGAGCTCACGGAGAGAGAAGAGCGTCGGTCAGCGTCATTAGCAAAGGTCAGAAAATCAGCTCGGCCTCGAGAGGCTCGCTCTCGTTTCATCCTTTTTATCGGCGCCACCGCAGGTCCGTGAACACAACGGGTTTTCGGAGCGTCAATGGCGCCTCGATTTATCTCAGCTCTCATTACCTGCCTAATGTGTTACCCCGCTATGAATAATGCACATTCGCTTTCATTATCATGGAAATAAAAACTCCAAAATGTGATGTTTAAACCAACAGATGTGTTTTTTTGGGAAGGGGGGTCGCATGGGGAGTTAATTTAACATTTTCTCACAGTGTATTGCGTTCATTATTTGAAAATGGGAACATTTCTAAGGAAATAAGGACTCTAAGGACTCCCCTCCCGTGAGCTTGAAGTCGCCAATTCAACTCGAAAGAGTTAATAAGAATATATTTAAAGTAGGGGGAAAATAACACACAATAACACTTCCCTCATGGATCCCATTTTAATCATTCTCTACAGATTCTAGTAAATATGCCCCGTTTTCAGAGAGGGGACAATGAACTCATCCATCCATCAGGATGGATGCTGCTGAATGCCACTGGAGAAGGAAGATTGAAACCATGGTAACTAGATTTAGAATGGTACTGCCACTACAATTTTTTGTTTTTTTTGCGGTCTTTTCTAGGCGTGTCGATGCCTATTCCAGTAATCGGGCTCCACAACGAAGACAAGGTCTTCGTCAATGGCAGCTGCGTGCTGAACGAGGAGCGCTTCATGCTGGTCGGTTCCTTTGTGGCCTTCTTCATCCCGCTGGTCATCATGGTGGTGACGTACTGCCTGACCATACAGGTGACCTGCCACCCCGTGGGTCTGCGTTCGGGGCTCCCGTTGTCTTTTTTGTAATACCTTTAACCCCTCCTTCTGTTTCAGGTGCTCCAGAGGCAGGCCACGGTCTTCCTGTGCGAAGCCAAGACGTCCTCCCAGCAGCCCTTAAACGCACCAGCAATATCCAGCTCGCCGCAGCCCCCGCCGGGCGCCTTCCAGCTCCCTCAGGCCAACACGCTCGCTCCGCCAGACTCGCAAGGTAAGCACAGATTAGGGCTCGAGCCGAAAAGTAAAAAAAAGTGAAAAGTGAAAGGTAAAAAAAACAGATGCTTGGCTGGGATTTTAATCATCCCGTAAGTGGTCAGTCAGTACATTTGCTTAAATCCTGAAGATTGCATTCACCTAAATGACAGAAAATACTTTCAATTCTAACTGTTTGAGCATGGCTGCATCCAGCCATTTCCATTTTAATAATGAAAGAGCGCTCTGAGGAAGCTCAGCACAAAACCTCCATGCTCTGTGCACACAGTTTCTTTTTTCTTTTGAAGTCGTCTTCAAACTTTAGACCCTATGAAACCATCGGTGTTGCATCACCCATTCATGTTAGCGACAAAAAATCTCTAGGTCATCTATATTTGAACAACGGATCAACACCATTTTCAACTGTAACTGCACACAGTTCGCATTGTGTGTGACCATTTTAATCTCGTTTGGCCTTATTGGTTGGTTCCCAATCGGGACAACCAGTGGGGCTGCGATAAACACGGAGGATAGCGTAGAGACAGCTTATAGATCATAAAACGGGACATTTTTTATCAATTATTTAACGTATGCTCCTTTTTGCTTTCAGCAGGCGTGTTTAGAACAGCGTTGCTTCACCTTTTCTTTTACCATGGTGCTTTATTCCCCCGTTTTCAGCCTCCTTTGTCCTCTTTTACAGCTTCACTTTTTATCATAACCCTGTTGGCTGTAATGGTTTCAAGGTTCTGATCAGGACAGATCAAAACTGGCACTTTGCCAGTCCTGAACTCAACCTGAACAAGGCTCTGGATGGAACACTGGAGAGACCATTCTGAGTTTTTGGTACCAGCAACTGACTGCTATGGGGTCTTTGGGAATTGGTTTGGATGTCCGCATGTACCATCTGATCCAATCTGATTGGTATCTGGGCGTTGATTTGTTCGCAAATGCAGGTTTTCCTTCGAAGAACAGCACATTATTTAGAGCGTAAGTAATTGGGGGCTTCCTCTCCCTTTTTTTCCCCCCGCAAGTCACAAACATTTGTCCGTTAGCAATAAATATTTCAGTCTTTAATGTGTAAGACCACAAAGCAGCAGCCCATATTACCCCCCCTTCCATCGTAAAGCAGCAGCACAACAGAAGGTGGCATTTCCATTTGCCCCATTAGCTTAAATCTATCCATTGAGATATGCTACCTTGCGTTAGCTTGCTGTGCGTCGAAACTTTATGAACCTTGCTGTTTTTTTACAAGGAGGATAAGTGCTCTCTGGAGACCCGCATGGAATGTGAGCAGGACTCCGGCCACATGTTCTCTACATTCACTGCGGGGCGATAAAGATGCTGACTTCTCGCTTACATGAAGCCCTTGCATCAATATTTCAGGGTGTCATAAAGTCTGCATCCATAAAATCTGTGTTTAAACCTTTGTGCAAAATTCCTGGATCTTTTTGTTTATTTTTTCCAGTGCCAAGGCGGGGAAACGTCTGTTTCTCTGCCATTAAGTCTTCCCGTTCAAAAATATTTCTCAGGCTGTTTTGCCCCCATTGAGCACGAGTTCAGCTTCAAACCGCACGATGTGGCAGCCTTCCCTAATTTCTCATCATGTATTCATTCCAGTCAGGGAAATGTGTGAATAAGATATTAGCTCATGTTTAACCTTCCCTCCACCTCTATCAGCAGCCTCGCTTAGATAAAATACGGCGTGCTTTCGCAGGTTCGTGCGCGGGCAGCAGTGTTTCTGGATAGCTTTGACGTAGCCGTCTGCCGGGGGTTTGAAGTTCACCGCAGTATCAGTGTTCACCTTTATTTTCTCAACTTTTTATATTAACTCATTGGCTGCCAAAGACGTCTATAGACATCAATTCAAATACAACCGTTGACTGCCAAAGACATCTATAGACGTCTTTTATGTTTTTCAACGCGAGTGGCTTGGGGGACGATCTGCTAAACCTTGTCCGTAAATATCGGTTTCTAGACAGAGTATGTACTAACAAATTGACCCTCTAGGTGGCAGTGCCACTTTTGATGGGATATGAGCATAGGCTGTAGGCAAATAAAAAATACGCAATGGTTCGCTATGCGAGAAATGGCGCTGTTGAGACGCAAGTCGAGGAAGAACGGAATAAGGTAGAAACAAAAAAAATTTCCTGATGAAAGAAGAGAGTCTACTCTTTCTTTTGGTGTGTTCGGTGTTTAGATAGTCATAGCACAAACTATTCTGTGGCTCTTGAAAAATCAGTCAAAATGCTCAAAAAACTCTGGCAGTATGGGACTCTCTGTTCCGAAAATGGCTGGCAGTCAATGAGTTAAGAGATGTTTGATTCGCCACTTTCTTCTCCCCCCCTTCTGCCAAAGAGCTGAAGCCCCCGTCCCCCCGGAGCAGGAGGAACACGCTGAGCTGCCTGCAGGGCGCCGAGGCCGGCCTCCTGCTGGCCGCCTCCGCCCCGGACAGCATCAGCATCATCCCCGGCTGCGAGGCGGCGTCCCAGCTCAGCTCGCCGGCGGCGGGGGCGGGCCGGAGCGACGCGTCGGGTTGCCACGGGCGACGCGGGATGATGCAGGCCATCAAAAACGAGAGGCGAGCCTCAAAGGTGAGAATGAAGAAGTGGAGAGGGCCAGGCCGAGGTTCTCTTTAGCTACTGTAGATAAAGCTGGACTATTTAACGGCTGGAATATGTATTTATATATATATAGATATATATATAGATATATATACTCAGAAGTAATGATTTTCAAAAGGGCTTGACATCGTCAAAAAGCCTGGAATGGCTCTGGAGCCACACACAGCTCAGACAAATGTTCATAAGCAGAGCCAAAAGAACATCTTATTTGCCCTTTAAAGCCTGATCCAATAATAAAACAAAGCCGAAAATTTATTTTTTTTTTGGTTTGAAGTCTTTGAAATATGCAAAAAAATGTCATATTAATAATTTATTACTATGCGATAATTCAAGATTATTTTTTGTGTAGTCTTCTGTCCCCTGTTATCAGGTGTATCTGATTGTGTACAATAGGATTTTGAGCAAAGTTTTTACCATGAAATTATGCAGAAGGTGTCAGACGCAAAACATTTCAGAAACCATATGTATCAAATATGATACATATTGTATTATAGGGTTAATCTTGGGTGAAAGCCGAAACATCTTTGCAGCTTTCTGACAGATTTAAAGGAGGTATGCGATATGAAGGGTGGGAGAACACATCCATCTGCTCACTGTGTGGCATCTGTGGCTAAAGGAAGCTCACAAGGGCCTCTCGGTCTCGTTGACTTCTTTCCCGTTCCCTCTTGCTTCCCTCAGGTCCTGGGAATCGTCTTTTTCCTCTTCCTCATCATGTGGTGCCCCTTCTTCATCACCAACGTCACCTTCGTGCTGTGCCGCGGCTCCTGCAACGAGTCGCTGCTCCACGACCTCCTCAACGTCTTCGTGTGGGTGGGCTACATCTCCTCGGGGGTCAACCCCCTGGTCTACACGCTCTTCAACAAGACCTACAGGAGGGCCTTCTCCAGCTATATCCGGTGCAGGTACCGGGCGGGCGCCGACGCGGCCGGACAGGGCTGCCGGACCCTCCTGGTGGCGCCGCAGTGCCCCTCGCACGCCGTCACCCCGCTCCTGCCCGGCGGCCACGGGAAGGCCGGGGTGGACCGCAACAGCAACTGCCGCAACGGGGGCCGGGGGGACAACGGGCGGCTGGCGGTGGACCCGGAGGACACCACCGACGACGAGGGGACGCAGACCACCGGGGGGCCGGCCTCGCAGAGCCTGACCGAGTGCCACGGCGCCGACGGCGAGCCGGACAGGGGGCCGACCCCGGTCAGCCCCGCCCACAGAGAACACACCAGCAGCGTGTGAGCGCGCTCGGGTCCAGACTTTTGGACGGACGGGTGCTCTGGGTCGGTCACCGGCCGAGGACATGTAGCCTGGGGGTATGGGGGGGGTCTAGAAGGGCCTTGTCTCCACGGAGAAATGCACAACTCATGTCCATTTGGAAGGAAAAGTTTACCTGGAGACCTCTCGCTTCCATTTGGGAAAGACGGCCCGTATCTCTGATGTGTTCGATTCCGCTTTTGTTCACCGAAATTATGTTTGTTTTTTTTTAAACGCCATGGATAATAGAAGCCGCTCAGGCCTTTATGTGTGCGTAAATGTGCTCATCAGTGACTAAAGGCGGCGAGACTGGGAGGATGCGAGGCGTCCGGCGAAAAGACGACTCCCTACCGACCCGGCATGAAGCCAAACGGACTCCTCCAGGAGTCCCACTGACCACTGGTCAGCGGGGTCAAGACGACGGCTCCGAGCCCTCACAGAGTCAAACTTCATTCAGCGTGAGCTCTTCGCAGAGCTAACATCGACCAAAAAAAACGTCATCAGTGCCATCAGGCTTAGGTGGCGGCAGTCGGTAAAATTCTGCTAGCGTCTGTGTGTGTGTGTGTGTGTGTGTGTGTGTGTGTTCAGTTCTCAAGGCTGCGGTTTACCTGAGTGGACCCGGGGATGAAGGAATGTGCAGCGGCCGCTGGTCTCCGGTGGACTCGCAGTGCCATCTGGTGACCGACACAATCACTTTTGAGATCACTTTACTCACAGCTTTCAATGTTTTTTTTTTTTTCAGAAACTCATCAACCGAGAATAAAAAAGTAAGGTATTTAACAGAGCACACAAGTTTTCCTAAGGTGTTGTCTTTAACAGGGTCAAAGCATTTCAGATTTAGTTTTTTTTTAGTTAGCCATGATATTATTATTATTTTATTTTTTCTGCAAGATGTCCCTCTGTCTGATTCAGTGTTGTCTTTAATCATGCTAAACATCAAAATCCATTGGAAAACGGCCAGTTCAGTGAAGGCAGACGTAAACCTGCTTGCTCCGTGGAATAAATTTAAAATGTATTCAGGTAAAAAGAAGGCAACCAAATCTAGTAAATGTCTGTTATATGGAATGCAAAGACAAAACAGGTTTGTGACCTCAAGTGGGAGGCCCCCAAATTGAAGCTACTTTCTATCAGGATTCAAAGTCCACATAGTTTTCTTCTCAAAATTGTTTAATGTAGATCAGATGAACCGTTCCATACAGGGCGGCAGAACTGAATGAGAAGTGATTTACTGAGATAGCTTATCGTTTTTTAATCAGATTATAAATCGGTGTATTCGCGCCATCGTCAAGGAGAAATTTCAGTCATCTATGAAGAACAGATGAAAGATAGCTTAAGTGTCATCAACTTTTGAAAGAAGTGGGGATTGTAGAAGAGCCTAGTTATCGCATCCGTGGCGTTTCCATGTAGGATTTTCTCCCATGCTGCAGGCGGGCTTTTGCTCAGACCGGACAGTGACAGCCAACAAAGACAGGAGGGAGCGCTAACGCTTTGTGCATATTTAGCAGCTTTTGGTGGGAAATAAATAATTCAAAGGAACTCATCAAGAGTGGAAAGCGTCGCTTTTGCTTTTTCAAACGAAAACACTCAGTCACAGACACTCAGAGACCAAATACGCTTTGATTTCCGGCAAATTGGCTCCATCCATTTGAATTCAGCGTTATTTATACAGCGGCTGCTCACCACTCATTTTAAAGAGAGAGAAAAAAATCATCCGACGAATTCCTATCATAGTCATGCCGACTGGCATCCAACTGAATCTTAATGGGCCAAATTCATCATGTTGTATTTGTATCATTCCAATTTATTAAAAATAAAAAAAACATGCTTGCAGAAACCAATAGATCGCATCAAACCTAAGACTGACTCAGTACATGAGTCTGCCTATGAGCCCCCTTCATAAAAGCAAGAACCCAGACACAGGAAGGGCTACCATCTGCCGCAAGCAGTCGGGGGGGGTCAGAGGACAGGAAGGGGCTTCACACTAACTCATAAACAACCGGCTGAATACGCTCGCTCCAGCACGGAGAAAAAAGGGATTGATGGCATACATATTCATAGAGGCTAAACGGTAAAAAGAGAAAGGTGAGACATATACATAATGGGATGTCATCTAGCTGTCCGGCATAGCCAAAGAGATGATTCAGGGTCACCTGAGTCTGCCCAGAGCTTTTAAGAGAGGTGATGTGCCTGAATTGTTAAAGAGTTTGTTTGTTTTTTTCGCAAAGTTTAGGAACCAGACATCTTACAGTGAAGGGAAAATATCTAACTATGAGATAGAAGCTCGGACAACTCCTAGAGTTATTAGAAAAGGGTTTCCCGAGACAACTGTTTTGCATTCATGTTGCATTCCGTTCAGCGAAACAAAGCCTCTGCTCTGTAGACAGCAACTCGCCTCTTATCTGAATTTAAAGGTGGAAAAAATTTCCAACTCCTCCGAGGATTCGCAACTCAAAAGACAGGAGACGGATAGAAAGTCGATAACAAAGAGAGAGACCCCCGACTATCACCGTCAGGACAGACAGCTCGCCATCATCCAAAGCTTTTCCGTCCGTCCTCCCACGTTTTATTGACGTCCGACAGGTGGAGTAACTCCTCCACGCTGCATCTCCATCAGTTGAGACACAAACGATTCCCAACGGTGTAAATTTAGAGGGTTAGACTTGTTTTTTTCCTCTTGGAAAATTCGCAGGGGAGCCAGGAAGTGAATTGTAAATTTTAGGAGAAAAAAATATTTGGCCACAACAATCCTGATTCTGTGAATTGTCCAGATTCCCCCAAACGGTATAAAGACAATTCATTCTTATCGACACGTTAAGCGAGATTGGTTTTGTATTTTATTATGGCAAGGCAAGGAAAAGTTTGGGCACCGTGATAAACTTGAATTGTGACCCTAACATATAACCGGACCTGTGTGTTTCTTTGATAAGAGCACAGAAAGGCCTGGAGATTAAAACTGATAAGCACTTTAAATCAGCTGCCAGCTGTTCAGCCTGCAAGAAATAGCTTGTTGTTAGCACTGGTTCAGAATCTACATCTTTCTGCTGAAGGAATATATTCAGTTTTGAACCCGTAAACTCTGGAAAATAACACTATACCACAAAAACAAGGGGGCTGAGGAGATTCAAAGACGCTGAACACCACAGAAAATCTATATCTATATCTATATAGAGCCCAAACATTTGTTTATAAAGGACAGAAAAGCCTGTCATAAAACATGGCACTACATCGTGAGGAACTGAGGCCTTTGGCAGGAAGTGTGGGGGAAGAAGGACGGACACCTCGCCGTCCACAACAGCCGTTAAAAGCTAGAGGCGTTAAAAGAGGTGTTAGCTATGCGCTTACTATGAATTTGCCAGATGTATTAAAGAGATGACACACTGCATTTGCTTCATTCTCTGTTTGATTCAGACAGAACGGAGCAAAGCCAGAGTTCAGGTGAGCTCAGGGGGCTGGGTGGTTTAATAGCTTAGATCGCTACCCGAGATGGACTCTCTGACTGTTATCGATTGTGTCCAGCACGGCGTATCAAACTGACACTGGGCAGACGAATGCAATCACTGTGAAGACGAAAGGGGGGAGAGATTCCGGGTAATAATTTGGTCCAGGTCTAGTGTGGGCAGCAGGAACTGCCGGCCGTCCGGCTTTCTTCCAAGGTGCATTTTAAGGGTTCTATTTTTTTGCTTTTATTGTGTTTCAGTTTCCTGTGAACTTCTTATCTCCAAACCAATATACGGTATAAATTCAAGAAAGTTTTATAACAATAATATATTGATTTGCTTTCCATTTTCTCCATTAATTGAATATTAAAACCAGAGTCAGCTCAAAGTATGAGTAAACTAATTGGCTGCTTGGGACCCCATGACTACTAGGGGGCTCCAAGAGTAATTATAATACATTGTTTTATCTTTTATTTCCTTGCATATTTGATGGGTAACTCCTTTCATCAACGGTACATACAAAACACAATTGGATGCAAATTTAACCAGGTATTAATTTAATCTTTCTTTTTTTGGGGGGAGATCGTGCAAATCTCGTTATTGCTTCCGTGGTCTTTCACCATTTAACGACAACAAGTGGTCTAGTGTTACATGTATATTCCCCCAGACAGATCATAAAAATCTATTAGTTTGCTGTAGCTTTGTGAAGGATGACTTGGATAGTCAGAGGGCTGTTCGCTTAGCTTGAACATTCTAAAGGTTTCTGCAGTATTTCCCCCTAAACAAGTCATGAGATGAGAACCAGCTGGAAAAGGTGACAAGACAAATGTCTGAATGTTTTAAACCTTCCAAATGAACTAGTTACAAACGTTCCCAGAGACTCGAATACCTCTTTGGCCCTGGATTTACCATCTTATAGCTGTGTCCCTCATCTGTTCGGCATGCAGTGCTGCTTTAGTTATGAGAACAACTAAGGCAACGGGTTGCTTTTGAATCTGGAAAAAACCCAGAGACGTCTATGAGCCTTTTTCGTGGATCAAATTGGAACTCTCGAAACTGAAGCATCAGCTCCTTTTTTTAATGCTTGTTTGCATTGACACACACCGGCTGTGTGGTTTGTGTGCTTACCAGCACTCAGCGGTTAGCCAAACGCCGAACGTGTTCCAACCTTTCTGCTATCGAGCGGTGGCCGTTTACTATACCATCAACTGTGAATGTTTGTCTATGAGGCATTTTCTTGAGTTTCTAGAAAGTTTATGTCATCATCTGCAAAATGTATATATATTTTTGTGTCTGATGCTGCCATTTATTTATTAAAATATAGCTCTACTGTGTGGACAATAGTCTGATGCGTATGTCAATCAAGGAGAGAGAAACTTTTCTGATTCGCTCCCAATAATTCAGAAGATATTTCAAATTTTTCAGTCAATCTTTTTAATCTAAATTAATTTTTTCCGCAATTTTGATATAAAATAAAGTGGGATAATATGATATGTGTCAGGCCTAATATCATCTAAGAACTGAGTGCACATAAAATATGTTTTTGCA